GTTATGCCGTTTGGGACGACTAATGCACCTGCAGTATTCATGGACTTAATGAATAGAGTCTTCCGGGCTTATTTGGATCAGTTTGTTATTGTCTTTATTGATGACATCTTGATCTATTCTCGGTCGGAGGACGATCATGCTAGACATCTTCGCATAGTCTTGCAGAAGCTTCGTGAGCACCAGTTATATGCCAAGTTCGAGAAGTGTGAATTTTGGCAGCAGGAGGTGAAATTTCTGGGTCACGTGGTGTCAGAAAAGGGGATAACAGTGGATCCGGCCAAGGTTTCAACGGTGGTTGAGTGGGGACAACCTACATCACCTACTGAGATTCGGAGTTTTCTCGGTTTGGCAGGATATTACAGAAGATTCATCCAGGGGTTCTCCAAGATAGCAGAACCACTCACTCATCTGACCAAGAAGGGTGTACAGTTCGTGTGGGATGAACACTGTCAGCGAGCTTTTGATGAGCTGAAAAGGAAGCTGACTTCTGCACCGGTTCTGGCTACTCCGCAGAGCGGGATAGAGTATCTTGTTTACACGGATGCTTCGTTGCAGGGTCTTGGATGTGTATTGATGCAGGAGGAGCGACCGATTTCTTATGGATCTCGGAAACTTAAGCCTCATGAGCTTAATTATCCAACACATGATTTGGAGTTGGCAGCAGTGGTTTTTGCCTTGCGTATTTGGAGGCATTATCTGTTGGGTGAGTCCTTCAGATTATTCAGTGATCACAAGAGTCTGCAGTACTTGTTCACTCAGCGGGAGCTAAATATGAGACAGTACCATCCAGGGAAAACGAATGTAGTGGCGGATGCACTCAGTCGCCGACCTGTTAGTAGTCTTTCTGCTCTATTCACTACTGAGTGGAATACTTTAAAGAGTGTGGATGAGTTATCGGATGCTTTTATGGCTTGCATGGTGGTTACACCTTCCATCATTCGCAAGGTTTTACAAGCACAACTCACCGATCAGCAGTGTGTCGACAAGGTCGCAGAGATAGCTTCCGGAGAGGTTCCATACTACTATGTTGGGGCTGATGGAGGTTTAAGGTACAAGGGACGGTTAGTAGTACCTTCTGCTGATAATTTGAGGAAGGATGTGATGACTGAGACTCATCACTCTGAGTTCTCTGTTCATCCAGGAGGCGATAAGATGTATCAAGATATGAAGCGGCTGTTTTGGTGGGCAGGTATGAAGAGGGACATTGCTCTTTTTGTTTCTCAATGTAGTACTTGTCAAATGGTTAAGATTGATCATCAGAGGCCGCCAGAAGCTCTACAGCCACTACCAATTTCGGAGTGGAAATGGGAGAGCATATCTATGGATTTTGTGGAAGGGTTGCCAAATTCTTTCAAGGGGCATAATTCCATATGGGTCATTGTGGATAGGTTGACCAAGTCAGCTCATTTCTTGCCTATTTGCACTGACTACACTTCGGAGCAGTTGGCGAGGCTTTACATTTCAGAGATTGTGAAGCTACATGGCATTCCATTGTCTATTATATCGGACAGGGATTCGAGCTTTGTATCTGGATTTTGGAAGAGTTTTCAGCAGACTTTAGGTACGGAGTTACACCTTAGTACTGCTTATCATCCTCAGACTGACGGACAGATTGAGAGGGTGAATCAGATTATGGAAGATATGCTTCGGTCGTGTGTTCTGGATTTCAAGGGCCACTGGGAGGAATATTTGCCACTTGTGGAGTTTGCTTATAACAATAGTTTCCAGAAGACTATTGGTATGGCACCATTTGAGGCATTGTACGGTCGACCGTGTCGGTCACCTGTTTGTTGGATGGAGGTTGGAGAGAATCGATTCTTAGGTCCTGAGTTCATCAAGGATACCTTTGAAAAGATTGCTCTTATTCGAGATCGCATGCGTACTGCCCAAAGTAGGCAGAAGAGCTATGCTGATCGTCGTACTCGGGCTTTGGAGTTTCAGGTTGGGGATAAGGTTCTACTCAAAGTGTCTCATATGAAGGGTGTTATGCGCTTTGGGAAGAAAGGGAAGTTGTCACCACGATTTGTTGGTCTATTCATGATTACGGATCGCATTGGAGCTGTTGCTTATCGGTTGTCACTTCCGGATACTTTGGATCGCGTCCACAACGTGTTTCATGTTTCCATGTTGCGGAAATTTCTTCGAGATGAGGATCGGTATCAGCATATCGATGTTGGGGAGATTGAGTTGCAGTCGGATGCAACTTATTTAGAGCCACCGTGTCATATTGTCGACCGACGAGATCAGATTCTTCGTAATAAGGTTATTCCTTTGGTTCGTGTTCAGTGGAGTCATCACAATGAGTCTGAGTCCACTTGGGAACGAGAGGATGTCATTCGCTCACGGTTTCCTGAAATATTGGAAAAAGGTAAGAGTGAATTCCGAGGACGGAATTCCTTTTGTTAGGGGGGAAGAATGTAATACCCCTAATTTTAAAAAGGATATTCCTGGTATTTAATGGTATTTAATTTATTATTTAAGTGCATTTTATTTGATTATATTTTAAAAAGGATATTCCTGATATTTAATGGTATTTAATTTTTTATTTAAGTGCATTTTATTTGATTATGTGTCATTATTTTTTTTATTAGGTACTTAATTGTTTTCTTTTGTGGTGATTTAATTTATTTAAATGATATTTATTTTTAGTTATTTGATTGGAATTACTTGTTAGTGTTTTAATTATTTAATTAGCATTAATGGTTTAAGTGTAATTGGTTTAATTATTCTATGTGTGTCTTATTTTATGTGTGTCTTATTTGGTTTAATTGGGTTTACTAATTATTATTTTGTTCAATTAGATTATTTGTTAAGTATTTAATGGTGAATAGGGTAATTAGGTAAATACATCTAACTAGGGTTTTAATTACAGTTTAAATTAGGGTTTTATATTATAGCCGTCGTAGGTTTCTACGTTAATTGAAAGGGCCGGTTAGGATTGTGAGTTGGACTTAAATGAACCTAGGGTTTAGGAAAACTCTATAAGTATAAGGTAGATGTCTGTGTAGGGTTTTTTTAAAACAAAGCACACGTTTTGTGGAAGTGGAGAAGGAAAAACGCAGTTTTTCACATTCTGCCAAGGTTTGATCAAAGCTCCGATCCTGCTTCGTCCGTGGTCCGATCGAGCTGAATTTTGGAGGAGAGGTTCACGACTCAGTGACGCACAATCTGAATGGTGGAGATCAGAGTTTGACCTCGGGAACAGTAATTCGTACTCGTGAACAGTAACCGGGTTTTGGAACTCGCCGGGATTTTTTTTAAGAAAACGACGTTGAAACTTTGAACAAAAGTTTCTGAGGCAAGATTCTATCCTTACTCTTTCCCTTAGGCTTCATACTCTTTGCACTCTTAAATGATTCCAGGATTAATGAAGATTAAACCAAACAAAAATGATATCTGTTTTGCTATGAAACTGATAGTTACAGTAGTGTTGTATGCTTGTTCAATCTAGACTAAGCATGTTTGTGGATGCATTGTGGTTCAGTGGTTCACATTTTTCCTTACCACTGCTAGTATAAATTATTGGAAGGATAGGTCTAGATGATAGCTATCTTAACTTCTGTAATAGCAACTGTTGGAACTTAAATACTAGGAGGATTTGAGTTTAACACTAGATCGATTTTGGGGAACACTATAATTTGAGCATGTCTACATACATACTGTGAATATTGTTTTGATGCTTACATTATCACAGTTGGTATCAACTGTGGAGGATAGGATTTTGTGATACATACCCTACCTATCTGTATGTCATTTGTAAGGTGTTAAATGGAAATTTTAATTAATTCTGTCTTTATATCAGACTAAAGGGAACAACGTAAACTGGGCATGTATATATTGTTGTTGGGACCCTGTTTATCAATGCTTATTTTATCACTGCTAACATTGAATGTTGGATGTTGGAATTTAGTTGATATATACTTGATTTATTGGTATTATTGACTACTGGAGGATTGGAAAGTAGGCACCGGTATGGGACGATGGCATACTAAGGATGGGTTTGGTTTTTAAAACAATACCATTACCCACCTACTTGGAATAAGGATGGGATTAACTAAAAGTTAAGTCCCGTGGATTTGTATTGTCAAGGCAACTACTTGTTGAGCGGTAATATCAGGGATTTTGGATGGATTTTATATATGTACTGTTATGGTGCCTCGGTATGAGCTTGAGCCTCAGGACCGATGGCTAGGGAGCGTATATGCATCGGGATGTGTAGCTGGCTACGATGGTTGGAGGTGTACCCTGTTTAGGTATAGGTACATATGCCCACTTCGTGTGCGTTTTAGCATGTTACTTCTATTCAGGTTGAGACCGGCCTGTAGTCCAGTGAGAGTCCTTTAGTGTGACTATATATATATTTACGGACTATTAACTATTGTTGAATTGTTTCGGATGTACATGCGTATCGGGCCTCTGTTTGGATTGTAGTAGTATAAAACTTGCACGTGGGCCTGACCCACTTCTATTTTTCAGGTACATGACAGTTCCAGGCTTAGACATGTTCGTGCTGAGCAGAGGTCTCTATTCACTCTTCCGACGATGTAGGGCTTTTTCTATAGTTTTATTTCTGGACGTTTATTATAGTTGTTCTATCTTCCGTATGGATGTTTAATAGGGGTCCACTGGAGATGGATTCCCAAGTTGTAAACTGATGGAGTTTTGGAGTTTGGGTTTGATGGATTTTAATAATTATAATATTTTGCGGATTCTATTTTTAGTTTCTTCCAGCTTTAATTTCATTTTTTAATTTATTTTGTATTCCATGTTCATTATAAAATATTAATTGTTTGATATTCCCTCGGGTTTGGGCCTGGGCCTGATCAACCCGTGTCTCGGATTCGAAGGGTATCACAGTTGACTCTGACAAGATGTCATTTATTGAGGTTCAAGAGATGGCAACTAAGTTAGGTTATGGGGTGATCACTGAAGTTTTTTACAAAGTACCCTATGAGTGGCAAAACTTTAGAGAAGTATAGTGTGACTTAGATGTATTTAGAATGTTTTATGACCATGATGCCCATAGGGAAACCAACAAAGTGATGTTGTACATTGTTGCACCTTTGTTAAATAGTGTAGGAAATGAGGAAGGCTTAAATGATGATTTAGGTTGGGACTATGTTATACCTGAAACAAACCTTATTGCTCATGTGTCAAGCCCATATAGTCCCAATGATGAGTTGATAAGCTTGAATGGATCTGATGATGAAGGAATTGATAGTGGTTCTATATACTTAGATTATATTCCTTCAAGAGATTTTGGAGAAAAGGAAATAGAAATAGGTACGAGGTTTGGGTTAACTCAAGATTTTAGGTTGGTATTGAGAGTGACAGCATTGAGGGGAAAGTTTGATATAAAGTTCACAAGGAATGATAGAGATAGGGTAAGTGTAGTATGCAAGGCTGACTGTGGGTGGAAGATATATGTAAGCAAACCAGAAGATGAAAACTGTTTGATAGTAAAGATTTATCTGCAGGAACATAGAAACTGCCTTTGGTTTCACACCAATGCACAGGCCTCATCTTCCTACATTGCAAACAAATACATAAAACAATTCAGAATAAACCCAAATATGTTTTTGAGTACACTTAAGAGTACTATTGCTTCTGATATGGACATTGATATGTCCAAACACAAAGTGTCTAGGGCTAAAATGAAGGCTTTAAAAATGATTGAGGGAAATGAAGCAAACCAATATCAGAAAATGAGAGATTATTGTAGTCTAATATTAAGAACCAACCCAGGCAGTGTTGTCAAACTACAAACTGAGCCAAGTACTGTTGAGAACATTAGAAGGTTTCAAAGAGTCTTCATCTGTTATGCTGCAATGAAAACTAGTTTTAAAAAAGGGTGTAAGCCACTAATTGGTGTGGATGGTTGCTTTCTGAAGGGACCATATGGTGGACACCTATTGAGTGCAGTTGCCAATGATGGGAATGGCCAAATGTTCCCAGTAGCATTTGCAGTGGTGGATTCTGAGATAAAAGACTCTTGGGAATGGTTTATGGGAGAATTAATGGATGCAGTTAGACCTTACCATGGTATAACCTTCATATCTGACAGACAAAAGGTACAATTTCATAGTGTATGTATTTAATTATTTAATTCATGCATTTAAGTATTCAATTTTTGTATTATTTACTTAATATTTGATTCTGCTATTTTGTCTCATACACAGGGTTTAGTAGAAACCTTTGATAATATGATGAAAAGGTCAGACCATAAATTTTGTGTCAGACATCTTTATGAGAATTTCAAGCTCAGGTTCAAATGACAACAATTAAAAAATCTGTTATGGGAGACAACAAGAGCATATACCAAGGCTGATTTTGAGCAACATATGAAGAAAATAAGGGAATTAAATGTTGAAGTTTATGAGTGGTTGAAAAAGGTGCCAACTGAATTGTGGTCAAGGCCAAGCTTCACACACACTTCGAGAAATAATGTGGTCATTAATAACATACGTGAAAGTTGGAATGCAGTAATCATTGAGGCAAGGGATAAGCCAATAATATACATGCTAGAATGGATTATTTCAATGTAAGAGAGAGTGGATGCTATCACAGGGTGGCTTGTTATGTCCAAAAATACAAAAGAGTCTCAATAAAGTCAAGCACCAAGCTAGAATGTGTAAAGTGCATTATGCTGGTGAACAGAAGTATGAGGTTGAATGTTATGGTATTAGTGAGGCAGTTGACATTGATAAAAGAATATGCAGCTGTAGAGTGTGGCAGTTCACGAGTATTGATGTATGTCTAATTTTACCACTCGCAATAGAACAATTCCGTGTAGAATAGTGCTATAGAAAGAGATGTCGAACCCACAAGGAGAAGAAATTTATATTCAGTCTTTAATTTAGTCCTATTCATTTACAGGTAACTGGTTGGAAAGTTTGTTTGGTTGTCACGATTAAAAACAAACTAAAATTAAACTGAAATATTAAACTAAGTAATCAGAGAGAGAAATCTTAGGGCTTTGACTTCACCACAATCATCATACTATCGTCAATTGTATCAACTCTGGGAATTTAACCGATTATGTTTTCAAATGAATTGAACTCAATAACATTCGTTTAATTTGGATTTTAAAGAAAGATGTTTTACAAAATTCAGTTAACTATAACTTATCTGCGGTTCGCATGGACTATCCACCTACCTACTTTAACTACTTTAACTATTTTGCAAATAATCCATCTTTCCTAAGCATAGACTATGAAAACATTCTTTTATAAAAAACATTGGAACACTATTATATGACTTCTATTCTTATGGTCGGTAGGGCTCCGCCAGATACCATCCAATAAGATAGGTTGAGAATAGAAGACAAACAATTATATCAAAGACAAGGTAATAACAGTTTGTACTCTATTAAAGCATGAAAACCAATTGAGTTGTCTCAATTGCTTATAGTCATATAATCAAGAAAACATAATATATTGAAATAATCCCAGACTAAAGAACAATCAAACAATAATACTAGATTGGGTTACATCAGTGCCCTAAGAGAGGAATTAGCTACTCATGACGATTTCAGATATCATCTGTGTTGGAGTTGTCTTCATCATCACGGACGGCACTTCTCTTCTCAGGATCTTCACTTCTAAGGTTGTGGAAACCCTAAAAGTTACCACGCTACCAGCCTTCTGAATAACACCGTAATAAGACTTTAAATTTCGGACCCCTTCCATCAAGGCTTACGCTTTCTTTTATAGAAGAAAATAAGGATCTGGTGGGCTTTTAAGTCTTCTGGCCCATCTGGGACGAGATACGGTAGATAAAGAGAACAATCCCGTACTTTAAATCTGACATGTCATGGAAGGCTCGAAACTTTAAGGTTCAAGCTCAAGCTTCTCTGGACTGATGCTCAAGCATCAAGAATTGGTGCTCGATCTTCACTTTGACACTTAGCCAATTTTCTTCAACTATTTTCCGAAGTGTCTTTTTCTTCAACACTTAGAATATTTTTGGGATTGAAATCTTTTAACATTACTCGATCCAAGCTTCATGGGCTCGAGCACTAGGTACCAGGCTCGAGCATTTAGGACTTAAGGCTCGAGCTTCAATGAATGGTGTTCGATCCTTGGGGTTAGGCACGAGACCTGGGAGCATAGCCTTTTAATTAAAATCAACTCTTCAACTTCCGACACCTCATGCTCGAGCTTGAAGGTCAAGGCTCGAGCACCTTTAGGTAAGACTCGAGCACCCTATGTTGAGGCTCGAGCAACAAGGTACAAGGCTCAAGCTTTAATGCCTTATTGATTTTTCTTCTTTTCTTTGTTGTGATGCTCAAGCCTTAATATTTAGGCTCGAGCTCTGGGGCTTGAACTTCTTCAAACTTCACCATTTAAGCTCTCGGCTTACTCTAAATGACCGGCAACAACTCTGTAGCTTTGATATCATCATAAAGTCCCGGTTTTAACCATTTCTCTGGGAAAGTACTTGTACACATACATTAAACATAAATCAGTCTAACTATGGATAAAAGTATCACTTTAGGCCTTAACATACGTATATTTAGGGGCTCAAATATGCATATATTCAGCGCTCATCAGGTATCCCTTGTAGGCATGTTGTAGCTTGCATATTTATCAAGAGAGACTCCTCTGAGGCATATGTTCACCCATATTATCACAGAGAGACATACCTTATGGCTTATGCTGGTATTATCCGGCCCATTCCAATGGGAAGGTTGATGAAAACAGAACCTATTAACCCACTACTGCCACCACACTTTAGGAAACCCACAGGTAGGCCAAAGAGGGCTAGGAATAAAAAAAATGATGACCCCAAGAGTGCAACCAAGCTTAGCAGGTCAAAGAACAGTTTAAAGTGTTCAAAATATAAGGAGAGTGGTCATAACTTAAAGACGTGCAAATTACCTGAGCCATTGGTGATTTAGAGACCTCTACCAAGAAGGGGAGGTAGACCACCCATCCTTGGAAAAGGGAGAGCAAGAGGACCTGATGGGATGACAGGTAGAGGAAAAAGAAGAGGAAGTAGAGGAAGAACAAGAGGACTTGAGGTTCTAGCTGCAGTACCTTCAAACCAAGTGGTACTTTTAATTTAATATAACTTATTCACAATCTTTTTCAAATTAGCTAACATGTTAATACTACATACAGTCTATTTCACGTTAGCTAACTTGTTGATACTCATTTTAGGTTCTAAATAAACCATTTTCTCAGTTGTCACAGACACAAGCATCATTTTCTGGGTTGACACAAGCATCATCTTCTAAGTATGATGAAAACAATCCCTTTTGTTTACTATATGTTAGTAATGAGTGCAAATAACTGATGTATAGTTGCTTGGATTATTGATAGGTCAATGATGGATAATGAGTATGCCTGTTGGTAGTGAAGATAGTAGCTACTGTTGGTGGTTTTTTTTTTTGGGGGGGGGGGGAGGGGGGGTGGATGGCTAATTATTACAACTTATATTTTTGGTTTTGCTGGTGGAATGATGGGCAGTGGCTATGCATGTTGGTAGTGAAGATAACAACTACTGTTGGTGGTTTTTTTTTTTTTTTTTTTTGGGTGGATGGCGAGTTATTACAACTTATATTTTTGGTTTTATTGGTGGAATGATGGACAGTGGCTATACATGTTGGTAATGAAGATAGCAGCTACTGTTGGTGGTTTTTTTTTTTTTTGGTGGATGGCCAGTTATTACAACTTATATTTTTGGTTTTGTTGGTGGAATGATGGACAGTGGCTATGCATGTTGGTAGTGAAGATAGCAGCTAATGTTGGTGGTTTTATTTATTTTTTTATTTTTTTGGTGGATGGCCAGTTAATACAACTTCTATTTTTGGTTTTGTTGGTGGATGGCAAATTATTACAGCTTCTACTTTTGGTTTTGTTGGTTAATGGACACTTGTGTCTATGAACTTCCTGTTGTCAATTGTTGCTGTAATTTGGTGTAATGGCTAATGCTAACCTTAACTGAGCCCCCTTTTTAGTGATTGTTATGTTCACGGGATGTGAAAACTTTGTTATTAAGTACCTATTGTGGTGTTGATGTTCAGAATGTTAAGTGATATGTTATAATATGCTATGTTATTAATTCATATTGTTTTTCATTTAAGAGTTTTAACATTTAATGTCAAAGTGTTATAATTTGGTGTCATTTGTTAAACAGGTTTTCATTTAATAGGTTATGGTCCATGACATATTATTGGACAAGTTTATCATTGAACAGGTTTTAAAGAAGTGGTCATTGGATAATTTTTGTCATTGAACAAGTTTTAAATAAGTGATCATTTGACAAGTTTTGTTTTAATAGGTTTTAAAGAGGTGGTCATTGGACAAGTTTATCATTTCATAGGTTTTATGTTTCTAGTGTAAGAGAATTGCAGGTCATAGTGTATCAAAATGCAGTGACTTTTGCTGTCAGTGCAAGTAATTGAATGCTGTTGTGTAAAACACTGCATTAAATTATAAGTCTTCTGTGACATTGCAATAACCATAATAGGACTTCAACTATAACTTAACTACATTGACCACTAAATCACTTATCAATAACACAAATATACAAACACTGAACATGACTCCAAAAAGTGCATTAATCAAAACATAGCATTTCATTTATTAACACAATTACTACAATTGGATACACCCCATCTTCCTACATAGCATATAACCATACAACCTAAACCTCCAAAAATATCATACAGCAACCCCACACCTCCAAAACAGTCCTAACTTCAACTGGATAGGCCTCATCTTCCTACATTGCTTCACTTAATAATCAGAGCAACAAAAAAATTTAGAACAGAGAACCCAAACAAAATAAGGCTTCCAATAAACATAACACTTGCAACTGAATTGAGAGCTGTTCGAGGAGCTTCTTTTGGCAAGGGATGAGCTGCATGAGGCACAACATAAGCAAATAGAGGAGTTTGGAGCTCGAATGTTATTTTGGGTAGCAGGAGGAGTCCCCCGTTCAAAGTATTTGCAAACCTTTCTAGTGCACTTAAAATATAGCCTACGAGGATTGTTCGCGGACTCAGAAATGAATACAGAAGCTCTTTGGCCACACCAACACTTCTTATTCATGATTGGAAACCCAACATTGTCCATTTCAAACACCTTAAAAAATTCATGACATACTGAGCCAAATAAAAAAGAGATCTATATTTACACAACCTCTGTAAGTATATATAAACTGATATACTGAAATTTTACGAATACAAATCCCTTAAAATTTTACGAATGACTCACTCTCTTTGATTTTTAGAAATCGAACTGAGAGACTCCATGATTGAGGAACGAGACCAGAGAGCAAGAAAGGAGGAGGAAGAAGAAAAGAGAGGAGAGAATGGGCTACCTATAGTTCTTCATATATATATATACCAACACATACCAGTATAGACCCAATGACATAGACGGGATTACCTTTCACTGGAGTACGAACAGAGGGTTAAAGGGAGAAGTAGACCACGATAGAGACTGGATTTGACTTGATTCGATCATGAATAGAGTTGAGCGAGAGGGGATCCAACCACGAACAGATTTATAAGGTTGATATGGGGAATCAATTTAGTGTTTTTCTGAGTTTGGGTTAGAGGGAGGAGTAGACCATGATAGAGACTGGATTTGACTTGATTCGATCACGAACAGAGGTGAGCGAGAGGGGATCTAACCACGAACAGATGTATAAGGTTGATATGGGGAATCAATTTAGTGTTTTTCTGAGTTTGGGTTAACTAGGGTTTTAAGAAATTGGGGGTGTTTATATAATGATTTGGGGGTGTATATACTATTATATACAAGGCTTGTTTGGCCCTAACGATCACAAAAGGGTTATTTCTTCTTTTCAAATTTCAAAGGGCATTATTGTCCATAAAATTCACTCTCTATCTCACGTGCTTCAAATAACGGTGAATTTTCAATGGACGGTGGCCGGAAGGGGCAATCTGCAACAAAATTGCATGGTTCAAGGGGTGTAGTTCAGAGGTTTTTTTACATGTTTACCTATAGTTCAGAGGTTTTTTTTGCACTTTTCCCTTATTGTAATGGACATGGGTATAATTTTGAAAACTACAGGGTGGTCCGCGTGTATATATTATAAATGACCAAAATACTTGACACCAATCAAACGGTGGTAGGGAAATCTGGAGGAAGCAGAGGCCATCTGGAGAGAGCAGAGCGCTAGGGTAGAGGCGAATCGGCGATTTTGGTTCCTGCGCAGATTCAGAGAGGCCGCTCCAAAAACCATGGCAGAGGCCGCTCCAAAAACCAAGTTAGAGGCCTACCTGAAGAAGCTCCGGCACCAAGACTTCATCCTTTCCCGACCAAACATTTATGTGGGTTCTATCGAAGAGCACACCCAAACCCTCTGGGTCTACGAGAACAACGAAATGGTCCGCCGACCCGTCACGTACGTCCCCGGCCTGTATAAGATCTTCGAAGAAATCCTCGTCAACACCTTCAACCACAAGCAACGCGACCCCTCAATGGACTCAGTGAAGGTGGCGATCAATGAGGAACAGAACTGTATCAGTGTGTGGAATAATGGTTCTGGTCTCCCAGTGGAGATTCATAAGGAGTTGGGTGTGTATGTGCCCGAACTGATGTTAGGGCACATATTGAAGCGTGACAGCAAATACTATGATACCATCAACAAGACTGCCGGTGGACATGGGATCGGCGCAAAGCTTACCAATATCTTCTCCACCGAGTTTGTAATTGAGACTGCCGACGGCAAGCGACAGAAGAAGTATAAGCAGGTATAAGAAACAATTGTCAAAAACATGGGAGTTTTTTTCTCAATTTTATTTTTATCATGTATATATATATATATTGTTTTTTTGCTAGTTGGTACTAACACATCGAAGGGATTGCTTGCACTCTGAGAGGGGTTGAACTTTAAGAGTTGATGCTTCCTGTGGCAATTTTTTTTACATTTACTTTTGCTTTGATTTAATCGAATTACTTCACTATTTTGTTCGTGTATATTCTGTCTTCTTGTTGAGTTTTTTCTGTTCAAACGGTTTGGATTTGAGTACTGTTTATGTTTCTATGCAATAAATTGCGCCATCTCAGTTTTTGGTCTATTAAACTTTAGTATTATTTATATTTATTTGTTTTGGAGGTGTGGGTTCTTAATCAGGCAGGAGATGGAGATTTAGAGTTTATTTTTACCATTGCTAATACTTGACTTTGTTTATGATTGTTCTCATGGTTTTGAGGTTTTTTTGTCTATAATATATTGCAAACTGTTGTTTTTTGGGTTAGATTGCTGATTTTAATGGTTTTAAGCGTTTAAGGATTTATCTGTGAATTGCAGTGATTTTAGGTTTTATTGCATCTAATATATAGCGTTTCGGATTTAAGAAAGTGCAAATATCAGTTAAGCCTATAAGTTTTAGGCTCTGATGAGCAGGGTTCTTAATGTTAAATATTGGTCGAAATGAATAGGTTTGAATGTTTTCCTGCTGCAACACTTGTCAATCAAACTGGATTTGAAATGGAAACTCCTCTTCAAAAAATTAACCTATAAAAATTTTGTGATGATCTGAAGGTTTTCTCAAACAACATGGGAGAGAAATCTGATCCTGTTATAATGAAGTGCAACGATGATGAAAACTGGACAAAGGTCTCATTTAAGCCCGACTTGGCAAAGTTCGATATGACCCATCTTGAATATGATATTCTTGCCATGATGAGAAAGAGGGTGATCGACTTAGCAGGATGCTTTGGAAAGACTGTGATGGTTGAATTAAATGGGAAACAGGTTCCTGTAAAATCATTTCTTGATTATGTTGGTATGTATTTGAAATATGCCTCCAAGAATAGACCCAATGACCTCCCAAGGTTCTCTCCATGATCTTGCTATTTATCATTCTTATTCCTCTTATATTTTAATTGGGATTGCTAATCAGATTTAGTAAATTCACTAGGATTGCAGAAAAGGTCGAGAGGTGGGAGGTTTGCGTGAGTTTAAGTAACCAGTTTCAGCAGGTACTGAGAAGATTATCCTCTTTATTAGCCTGCTCAACTACCATTTAGTTTTGGAGCTTGAACTTTGTATGTGGATGTATTGGTTTTGACAGGTTAGCTTTGTAAATGGGGTTGCCACAATCGAGGGTGGGGCTCATGTGGACTACATCACCGAGCAAATTACATCTTACATTACGGAGAAAATAAATGCTGAGAACGAGGGTGCCAACGTCAAAACTTTTCATCTGAAGAAACATTTATGGGTGTTCATCAATGTTGTTATTGACAACCCTGCATTTAATTCAACAACAAAAGTGGCCTTACTCAATGTCCAAAGAGGTTTTGGGTCCAAATGCGAACTCTCACAAGAGTTCTTAGAGAAAGGTTTGCATCACTATTTATTAGATATTTATCCAAAAAAATTAAATTTACTCTTGTATGACCTTAACCATTATTGCAGTTGCTAAATCTGGAGTGGTGGAAAGATTTGTATCATTGCAAAGATTCAAGCAGCATCTTAAAAGTGATACCGCAGTAAGGGGATACAGAATCTTTGGAATTCCTAAACTGCAAGATGCTTACTATGCGGGGGGCAGAGACTCTCACAAGTGTACCTTAATTCTTACCGAAGGAGATTCTTCTGCGGCTCTTGCAGTAAGTTCATGATCTGCTGTCCTAAGTCTGTCTATTGGCAATGGATTCTAGTATTGCCCCATGATGTGCATGTCATATTTTATATGCAGATATAGTGCTTTGCCATGTGATGTGCATGTTATATTTCATATGCTTATTGAGAAGGTGAATAATTTTAGTGTCATAATGAATTGCACGCTAAAGCTACATATTCCTTTATTTCTTGATTATCTATGCAGATTTTACAGAATGTATGGAATAATCTTTAGACTTCACCAATCAATGCTTTTATTTTATTTTATTATTATTATTTTTTCTATGACTCGAGTGTGGCTCTCTCCAATTTAATCACGTCAGCAACCGAAATAGGTGAGATGAATATTCAATTGTGTCATTTGAGAGGTTTGCAAATAGCTTACCACAAGAAATGCCACTTAAAAATTCCACTGATCCAACAACTTTGGAAATTTAGTCGGAGTTAAATCGAGTAAAAATATACAAGGAAACTTTTGTTCAATTTTAGATGCTGGAATGCAAATCAATGTTAAACACTGTCAGCGACACAAATTACAGCAAAGTCACTGTCATTTCAAATCTCCCCTTTAAACCTTTCACTATTTTCTTTTCTTTATTTCAAGTTTTCAAACATTATTAAACCTTACATTTTTCAAGACCAGCAGTGAAACCAATTTTTTCTCTCTTTACTCTCTGCACCACCACATCCACAATACCCAATTCTGACTCATCTACTCCTACTTTACAGGATGCTGGAATTTCTAAAGTAGGTACAAAATACCATGGTGTGTTTTCAATGGGTTGTAAATTTTTAGATGTGATGGAAGCAAGCCAAAAACAGATCATGGAGAATACTCAAATTCAGCACATCATGAAAATTCTTGGACTCCAGCATGAAATGGTAGATGCCACGATTGACTCGTTGAGATATGGTCACTTGATGATTATGGCGGATCAGGTTACTTATTTGTTTTCTTTTCATTACAATTATGAGATACATAATATATTCATTACTGATCGGAGATTTAATTGTGGTTTGCCTCAGCATCATTACGATTCCAATATCAAATCGCGATTGATTCATTTTATTAATTTATTTTGGCCATCACTCCTAAAAAGTCCATCTTTTCTAGTAGAGTCTGTTAGACCGATCGTGCAGGTATGAAATGCTTCTGAACTACTCAATATTTCAATTTTAATCAAAGTGGAATTAATTTTCTTTTGACATGCAGGCTAGTAATGGAAAAAGGACATTATCCGTTTATTCCATGTCTGAGTATGAATTATGGAGAGAAAGTTTGCGAGGAAGTGATTGGTCGATCAAGTTTTATAAGGATGAAGATGGGAAAACTAGTAAGGAAAAAGAGGATTGGCTTAGACGTTTTGAGGTTGGGCTTCATTTGACATTTTGGATGAAAACGATCTGACGTTTCCAAATTTATTTCTAATTTCTTCTTATTATTGTGCAGCCTGGTACATACCTTCATCCGGAATGTAAGGTTATAAAATATGATGACAACTTTGTCGACTGGCGGTTTAAAGAGTTTTCGGAAACAGTTCTTCACAGGTCAATTCCTTCGATGGTTGACGGCCTTAAACCAAGTCAGAGAAAAATACTTTTCTCTTCTTTCAAGTACAACTTTCACAAGGATGTAACTGTTGAAGAGTTATCTGATTATGCAAGTGAGCATTCGGCTTATGATCACAGTGAGATGAGTCCTTCCAGTACCATTATCCGCATGGCACAAGATTATGTAGGCGCCAATAATATAAGTCTTCTCCAACCAAAAGGCCAATTTGGAACTCGTCTGAAAGTGAGGCTAACAAAAAACACTCAGTTCTCCAAATTGATATGAATAGTCATTATGTTTGCTTTAATTTTGATTTACTACATTAATCCATTCGTTAACAGGGAGGCAAAGATCATGATGATCGTCAGTGTATATACACTCGGCCGTCTCCTATCACACCTTTCCTGTTCCCGGAACATGATAATAGTCTGCTTGCCTACATAGAGGAAGATGGCAAGTCTATAGAACCTTGTTGGTGAGGCTTTTTTACCAGTGATTAATGGATCATTGTGTAGGTAATGAAGGTATTGCAGATGAGAAGCTAATTTGTTTTATCATACAGGTACATGCCAATTATACCAATGGTTCTAGTAAATGGAAGTGAGGGGATTGGGACTGGATGGAGCTCGTATATCCCCAATTACAATCCGATAGAGATTGTTTCCAATTTGAGGCATTTACTGCTAGGTGATCCAATGGTTCCCATGAAACCCTGGTATAAAGGATTCCGAGGAGATATAGATATAAGGACAACAGAAGAAGGGGAGCTCTGCTACATTGTAAGTGGATTGATAAAAGAAGTGAGTGAAACTACAGTTCGGATTGAGGAGTTGCCAATCCGAAAATGGACCCTAAAATATAAAGAATTTTTGGAATCAATCAAGACAGGGAATGATAACAGCAAAGATCCATTCATCCAGGTATGTTTTTACCCTCTATTGTACCAATATTCCACCAACACACATACACGTACAGACATTACTGGTGGCCCAATAGGAATTCTTTTTATGCTTGATTATTATAAGCTACACTTCTTTATAATTAAGTTTTTAAATGCCATAGATATTATATATGTACTTTTTTTTTGGTACTCAAATTGATTTAAATTTTCTTCGTAATTTTTTTTTGAAACTAAGGATATTATTGAATCCTGTTTGAGAAACATTATTTTTATTATCCTTTAATTTTAAGCAATTGTTGTTAATATTCAACTTACATACAGATGTTTATACTGAATTGTCATTTACCTTTCTTTTTATATGCTTTTTAACAACTATGCATGCTTGACATTGTTTTGTTGTGTAGTTGAGTATGCATGCATTGTTGTTAATATGCTTTTTAACAATTGTTGTTAATATTCAACTATGCATGCATGTTGTTAATATGTACTCATGTTATTATCAGCAAGATAGTTCTTTGATTTAGCTCTCATGATTTTGTCTAAGAAAATTTTTACTTGGAAAAATATATCATGCCTTGTTTCTTCTTTTATGTTCTACTCCTCACCCTCAGCGGAACTACTTCAAAAACCTTTTGAATACACTTGTTTTCACTTCGTGATGACGAATGAAGAAAATCTATTTTGAGCTTTAAACCAAGTTAATGAGGCACCTACCCACTCCGTAGAAATTGGACATATGTTGAGTTGATATTAGAGGATTTTAGATTTGAGGTGAATTGGTTATGTTTTTCATATAATTTATAGATTTTTATGTATTTACTACTTTTTGTATACAATTGTTAGGATTTCAAAGATCACAGTGATGACACAACTGTGGATTTTGAAGTTTTCTTAACCAAGGAGAATTTGGACAAGGCTAGGGAAGAGGGTTTACTGAAGAAATTTAAGCTTACTACTACAATCAGCTTAAGGAACATGAACCTCTTCGACTCAGAAGGCATGCTAAAGAAATATGACAGCCCTCACCAAAGTATAAAATTGACACCACAGAGACTTTCTAATTTCGCATATAATATTTAACTTTGCTTTATTGTAAATTCATTTCTTTCCCTTCTGCAGTTCTTCAGGAATTCTATCCCCTAAGACTCGATTTCTACAAGAAAAGGAAGGCAAGTTGGTCGAAAATGAAATTAAATTCCAGATATTTGAATTTCTTGGTTACTTTGTTGTATACATGGCTGCTAACAAGAAAATAATTAATTTTGTGCAGAAGTCTATGCTGGAAAATCTTGAATTGGAATTGTTGAAACTGCAGAACCAAGTTAGGTACATAACTTTGTTTGCAGAAGGAAAGATGAGTGCGATCAACAAGAGTAATGAGGACCGGATTGTGGATATGCAAGAGAAAGGCTTTAGAGCGATTGGGAAGACAACAAAAACCCCTGAAGCAGCTGCAGATTATGCATACCTACTGGATCTACCATTTTCTGTTTTTACTGAAGAAGGGTTTAAGCAAATATGTGAGTCTAGGAATACACTAAAGAAAAAGATTGAGGATCTGAAAGAAGAAACTCCCGAGTCTATGTGGTTCAAAGATCTTGAGCAATTTGTTGATAAAGTTGCAGGAGAAGTCAACCCAACAAAAAAGAGGCACCGAGACGAAAGTGAGGGTATCCCAATGGAACCAACCGTCTGAAGTTGTGGAGGTTATTGAAAAAGCTTCTCAGGGAAGATTTTGGGCAGGAGCCAAATGTCTGAAGTTACTTGTGAATCATCATCTATACTTGTTGTACTTGTCCTGTTGTGAGTTGCTGAAAGTGCTACTCTTTGGAGAATTACAACTGAATTATGACTAATTGTTAAGCAGCAGAGTTAAAACAGATTGAAATTGAGGGTTGGGGCCACGCTGATGCGAAAGGTTGGAGGACCACCGTTTGATCTGAATGATTTATTGAGAGTTAGGGCCACGCCGGTGGTGGTTTCCTCTCAGAGGACCACCACCACCGTTTGATTTGGAGTGATGTATTGATGGTTGGGCCACGCTGGTGGATTCATCACGAGAGAGATTGTCTTGCTAAACCTTGTTGCTTTAGTATGATTCTAAGTAGGTTTATATAGAGCATAATCTGAGATGTTATGGTGTGGAATTTGTAAATGCCTAGGTACTTGGATACTAATGATTCATGGTTTGTATGTTTTGCAGAACCTATTATAATGTCAAATGGTCAATTATAGATACACGTCAAAACACAGCATATGAAACCTCAGTGTCTGAAAGTAAAAGTTACCCATGATGCTGCTAATAGTCGATCACATTGGTGAGATTTCGTTTTGTAGCTTCCATTTTCGGCAAAAAATCTTTAATATCTGCTTCCATTCTCATCTTCATATTGAAGTATTCACGATGATCGAGCTCTTTCTGGAGCCTCTACTTCTTCAAATCTTTGCGCGCGCATTTTTTCTTCAGCCTCAACCAATCGCAATCGCAGTTTTGTATTGTATACTTCCATTTTCAAAAGATTATGATTTGCCATACTACCAAATAGTTGTTAGAAATCAACAGATTGTGATCAGTTTTCAATCTTTCCATAAAGTGAGAGAGAGAGTCCAAATTCATGATGGAGCAGAGAATAGAATAGGTACAAGCCATCATTCCGAGTAGTCATCGAGTCTCGATCACCAAAACACAGTCTGTATGATTAGAAGTTAGAACCATATTTTATACTCTCTACCCCCTCAAAAAAGGGGACACTTTTTTTGGGGACGGAGCGAGTATTAAGCAAGTAAATGTGTAGTAATATGTTTAGGACTCGGCTTTTTTGAGAATGGAGGGAGTATTAAGTAAGCAAATATGTAGTATTATGTTCACGTTTAAATTCAGATCTTGGGGTTTACAAACCATTAAAGGAAAATAATTGAGCACTCGTGTCTCATACAAAGGAAACACTACTTTATGGTTATGGACGTATTATTTTTCCACTCTTGGAAGACTCATTTAGAGAAAAGAAGGTCAATTCTGATCATATCAACTACTATCCCTTTGTTTCAAATCAAATTCTTTTGAGATTTGGAATTGAAATTGAATTGGAAAAAGAATAGGATTGTACTTAAAATAGGCTTCTACGTTTTAAATAAATTAGAATTTGTAAAAAAATAAATCATACCATTTTAGGATAGGATAGGAATTTGAAGCTGTTTGTAGACCAAAACCATTCAAATTCCTTCCATTTTTAGATGACAAAATGTTATGGAAATTAATATTAGAAAAGTGAAAGTTAAAATGACAGGGAAAGTAAAATAAAAGTTTTAGGATTCATTTGGTTTACATGACAAAATTTCAAGAAAAATGTAAAAAAATCTCATTTGATAGTTTGGCTAACATGAAAGTTAATTGGAAATAGTATGATTTACTTAAATTGATCATCTTTTTGTTAATTATGATAATAAGTATAAATAAATTTATATTCAATAAATTTAAATTTTTTTTATTTAAAAAAAAAAAAGCAATATAAGAATCTAAATAATAAATTATAGAACACCCCACATCTAGAGAGAGAACAATTATACTATTGTTATTAACAGTTATTCATAAACACATTTACTGTGCGTTTAAGATAGAGTCTGAAAATTTCCTTCTAACAATCCAATTCAAGATCAAAATAAAATAAGATAAGAGTGAATAATATCCTTCTAAATAATCCAATTGTGAAAGATCTTTACTGTGCATTTAACAACAAACAATATACGAGATTCTAAAAGTTGACATGCTAGATTCTGGAAATTTTACAGGCTATTTACCATAAATAAAACACCCTGCCCCATTCTATTTTAATTTGAAATAATTCAAAATTTGTGGAAAATTTAGGAATTATTCATGCCACGCTAGATATGAGGAAGAAATCTGGAAATTATTGAGATAATTAAGGATCCATTTATTCCATGAATATATAAGGATACAATTCACCAAAAAAAAAAAAAAAAAAATTGACCTCAACAAAATCAGTGAAGCATCAACCCTAATAGTGTGCAGTGGGATCAAACTCTGTAAATCTTTCTGTAACAGACACCAGCTCCTGTAATCTAGAAGTTGAAGTGTTCAGTTCATTTCCAAAAGTATACAGAATTACAAATATTTACACATTACCTTCAACAACAATGAAGGAACTCAACATAATATATGTAACACACATTTCATTGATGGAAAGTCAACCCAAATGTCTCACCAGTTCAAGCAATTAGTCCCCATTCCCTCATTTCAGTCCAACACAGGCAATAACTTGTCATCCAAAGATGATACTAAAACTTCGCTTGAATGAATAAGAACTTCAAATTGTATAACAGTGAAAATATATATGCTACAATGCTTCCAGTATTGAGAGGGAAAATAAACAAGCAAAGAACGATCGCACCCGGTTCTCCCTATCAAAGTATTTAGACAAAAAAGGACATTCGATTGACAACGTGAGTTCCGTGATAAATTACTCACGGACTGACGGAACAACAAAATGAATTTTAATTCCTATCTGCTCCACAAAATAATTAACTTCACATACAAAACAAGTTCACAGTCGGATGAGTATAGCACAAACATGACAGAATTCCACGACTCCAACCTAGCAAGCTTTGTTCGGTCAGGAGAATACTTGGATTGAGTTTGCAGATTCTCAGCTCTCTTCTGCCTTAACAGTTAATACCACACTGCTCAACATCTGGGCCAGTTACTCTGGTGGTAAATGGATCAACCCGTACCCATAACAAAGAGAAAATGGAAGCAAGGAGAATGGACCAGACAACAACAATGGTGGGTGTCCTATTCTGGCGCCCCATCAGCCCCTTGAGGAAGGGATAGAGATGAACAATCACCCAAAAGGCAAAGAATAGCTTGCCAAAGAGCGGACCCCATGACTGGTAACCGCTATTGATGGCATAGGAAATGCCTGCAACAACACCTACCAAGTTTACAATGAGGAGAGTTGTGGGTGGGATCAGAAGAGTTGTCCATTTAAACAGGTAGAGTTCAGCAAAATCCCCGTCTTCATCTGATGCCTTGGAGGTGACAGTGAAATTGGTGTCAATGCCAGCAAGCACTTTCAGCAGACCTTGGAAAACAGCAAATAGATGGGCTGAAACACCACCAATAACCCAAAACTGTTCATTCCTCCACCATTCATCTATTCCAACACCACTCCACCTCATCTCCAATATACCAGTGGCAAAGATGGAAAGAAAGAGGGATATGAACCAGATACTTGCGAAGTTACTAATCTGCAGCAGAATGAGAGAAGTATATAAATGCTCTCTAAAACTATTATTTCCAATGATAAATACCTCTGACAAACATAATTATAAAACAAATCTACAACCTTTTAAAATTGATCATATCCATTTTAAAGCACATATAATAGAATAAAAGGGTTGCTGTTAACATAATCTTAAAGACAGCATCCAACTGCCTGAATATTGTCGACGAGTACAGATCCTGAAGTTTCGACTTCTCAGGAATTCTAGCAATTGATAACCAAGTCATGTTATACTTAGGGAAGGCTAAGCTCTTGAAATGAATTACAAAATACCAATTCATATCTTCAACCATGTATTGCATTCCTAAATAAACATGAAATAGCTCATTAATGTTAGGAATCGGGAGCTGCAGAGAAGCTGAGCATTAACATGAAATGGCTCATTAATGTTAGGAAACAGGAACTGCAGAGAAGCTGAGCATTGATGAACAGTGACCCTAAGATTGAGTTAGAAAATAAAAGAAATATAAAGTGTATCCAGATAGGACTCTGCAGATATAGTGAACCTGGGAATAATGAAAAATTAAAAGAAAAATAAAGTGCATGTAGATGGGACTATAGAGATGCAACGAACCTGTGGAATAATGAACTTTCCAGTGAGTAAACAGACAGCTGGCAAAGTACAATACAGAAGAAGAGGAATTGCAGTGACTGGGTAAATAGTTGTGTTTATATATGCAAATCTCTCGAGCCATTTTAGCCTTCCACCATAGCCATACCATATGGGGCAGTGCCGACTGAGAAGAATTTCCACAGACCCCAAAGCCCATCGGAGCACTTGGTTTAAACGATCTGAAAGATTAATAGGAGCGGACCCTTTAAAGGCTGGGCGCTGGGGCATGCAGTAAATTGATCGCCAACCACGAGCATGCATCTTGAATCCTGTAAGAATATCTTCTGTAACAGAACCATAGATCCATCCGATCTACAGATCCAGAGACAAAAATTAACAGTCTTCTAGAGAACCACAAAATAGAAGAGTACAATAAATAAATTAAAAAATAAAAAGGTTTCATCATTTGAATGGCACCAAAGTCAAATTTTCATGTGCAGCATGAAATATAAGAACTGAAGTTTGCAGTACCGTATCTTCACAGTATGTGTATATTAATGAAGGCGATTTTGTTGATTTCTTCAGAACAGTAACAAGTACAAAGTTGCAAGTATATAAGGAATTGACACCTTGTCAAATTATATAATTCTATTTTGCTTTGTAAATAATCAAACCTAGGTAATGAAATTGTTCACCTTTTTGTATTTCTTTACTCTAAATCTTTAATACATCCCTACTTTTATTTCAAATTTTGCTTAAATTGCATTCCATATAGATTCATAGTGCTTCTCTCCAACATCTAGCTTGGCTTGTATCCTACTTTAAGGAATACTGGCATGTAATGGTATCTTGAATGGGATGCTAGATTTTATGTTTACTCATTCAGATGCAAGGCCACTTGATGGTGTTCTAATTTTACACTAACAAGCCTTCAAATTCACGAATCACTAATATTTTTAGAACTTCTATGTGAAGGTGATAATGCAGTGGTAATTCTAGGTGAGATCTGGCAAGCAAGCTAAGACTAGATACATAAAAACCAACGCACCTCACTTCCCCATTCCGATTTATCCTCATACCCACAACTGATAACATGTATAGCCTCTTTAAGAAGAGTCTCTGGAGTTGCAGACTGAGGAACACCACCATTCTCCATCAGTGTGGATGCAACAAAAACAGCAGACTGACCAAATCTTTTCTCAAGGCTCATTTGTGACATGAGCAGTGTCTTCTCGTCATCAAACCCAGCACCTAATTTTAAATTGAACAAGGGAAGGTGAATGATAAACCCAGTAAATAAAAACAATTTTAAGAACCATGACCAGTCCACATAGATACTGATAAAAGAAAATGAAATGAATATTAAAAAAAGAAAAGAAAAGAAAAAACATAAAACCAATCCTTCAAAGAATTTTAACTTGTGTAGCAACCAATGGGTAACATTTGTATTCAACTGAAGGAACTGTACACGACTGTGATGCAAACAATTATAATGTACCACCAGCACTTTGCTGACCCAGTACTAAAACAGAATAAAGCTTAAAACCAGCAGTGGGTTCTTCGGCTAACCAACTGCTAAAAATTCCAGGAAAAATCATGGAAGCATAAATGCAGTGACTGGTCTTAAGCCGCTAACCTTGGACTTGATATGGAAAAAATCATACTATTAAAAATTAGAATGGAATAAATCATACTCATCATCTCATCTTATTATTTATTTCTATAAAATATATTAATGTTTCCCTTTATTTCACATAATTATTTATTTCTAGAACATGAATTTTCAATTTTACTTTTTGACTTTTTAACTCACAGGTTGAACCATTGACTCAAATCTTATAGTGTTAATGTCTAGGGCAGGTCCAACACCATGCCAGAACTGGCAGTATGAAGAGATGCTGTTATGCAGCATATTAAAATTTCATGCCTAACTCAGTGAACTACCATGTAACCCAGACACAGTTGAGGTCAAGAATGAGAATCAGAAGAAAAGAAGACATAAGCAATAAGTGCCTGTCTTTAAATAATAAGCATAAATTGCCAACAACTTCAACTTGCAGCATTTAAACATGTTCCATTGGACGATCAAGCCAGAATGTACAGTAGCGAGAAATAAAAAACATACCTTCAACCCCCTCCTCTATATCCTCTAGATTAAAAATGGGCACAGTGGGGTCTACATTCTTGCTAGATTTCTTTTTGTCAGAGCCCTTCTTACTTGATTTAGAACTTCTCTTCCGTGATCCACCACAGCAGGATGACAGCAGTCCTGGTTTTTTGTGCTTAGGTTTGAGAGGAGGCTCATAACCATATAAAGCTGTTCTATTGAAGACACATCCAGTTCCCACATAAACAGGACCCTGAATGCCATCCAGACCTCTCAAGTTTATCTGATTCCACCAGAAAAATAATAAATAAATAGCAAGGTTATAAATGGAGGGTGGAAGAGCGAATGTTCATCTAATCACCGAAACATACCTTGACACATGGTGCAGAAAAACACATTGATAATACAATTTTAAAATATATATAATATAACATATAATACATAGAGTATATTATATATAGGTACATAATTATTATATATAGGTACATAATTAAGTGCCGAAAGAACTCACATCAAAGAAGACTGTGTTACGGTTGGCATATCGATCATTCCTATCAATACCATCAAATCTCTGTGGAAACTGAACATAACAGACATATTTTCCAAGGTTTGGATCCATCATAAAACACATAGCTTCTCTCAATGCCTTGCTGTTGTTTATGTAGTGATCACAATCAAGATTTAATAAAAAGGGTCCATTAGTAAGGACTGCAGATACTCGAACCTGCAAGAGAGTTGCATTTCCATTATAAATTATTTATGCTGAGGCATGAATGAGTCAACTCCTATTGTAAGATAACGACTCACAAGTGCATTCATAGCACCAGCTTTCTTGTGGTGTTGGAAGCCTGGACGCTTCTCACGAGATACATAGACCAACCGTGGCAGCTCATTACCCTCACTGTCAAGCCCACCACTTTGGCCTAAGAAAACCTGCAAGTAATGAAATACATTCAATTGCAAGACAAAAATAATATGCAAAATTATAGAATATTGTCTTGGCACCCCAATAGCTCACCAATCATATAGTTAAAAGTTGAAATGGGATAACCAAAGAGAGCAAGACCATAAAAGACTAAGAAAAGTATAACGCCATATTATTCATATAACAAATTCGAGACAAGATTATTTTAAAAAAGGCAAAACGATATGAATGAGATTAAGTCATGTCTATTAGTTCCCTAAGAATGTAACTTATATGTGACAAGAAGCATTTTAATATTCACATGGCACATATAAGATTTTCACACAATCAGATCTACTAATGTGAGATTGACATTACCTGGATCATTCCTGGATGATCCCTTGTGTTGTTTCCAGGCCATGGTGTACCATCTTGCATGACCCATCCTTCCTCAGGAACTTTCTGGGCCTTTGCGACAAGTCCATTAATGCGAACTTTAAATTCTTCATATTCTCTCTGCAGTAAAAGCAGACAGAAAAATAAAAATCCATCAAGTAAAAGAGAAAATAAAATGCTATATATAAGCAAAAATGCCCACCTTCATAGCTCTACGATCTTTTACAAATGATGGTTGAACTTTATCTTTTAAGTAGTCAATCTTCTGAGCAAAGTACCATTCTGGAGCCCGTGGCTCAATGCTATACTTCTTGCAGAAAGGAACCCATTTCCTTGCAAATTCTGATGTTTCAGATAGAGCTTCAAACGTCAACATAGCAGATCCATCATCAGAGACGTAACATGAGACCTTGTCAACTGGGTAGTCAACTGCAAGAATGGACAAGACAGTATTGGCTGTAACAAGAGGGGGCTCCTTCAAAGGATCAACAGTACTGACGAAAATGTCAACAGCTGCTAATTGTGATGGCTCTCCTTCTCGGTCATATCTGTTACCGTTAACTTTGAATTAGACTTTTAAATCATGGAAAATCAGAACTCAAACGACATAGAAATTGGCAAGATGTAAAATGATAACCAACTAATACACAACAGAAGAGAGATGGATAACTGAAAAGCTGCCTCACCTAAGTGAAAGCCTGTCCAGATATGTTTCACGGTTTACTGGAAGCCATTTAGGGAATTGATCCAATATCCAAGATATTGCAAACCAGATCTCACATATCACAGATAGCAACCATAAAGGGTAAGCATTGGTTACAGGGTTTGTTATCCGGTAGTGCAAGAAAATACAGAGAATAATGAGCCGCAGGACTATAACCATCCTGTAAGGGTTTATCCTAGATGATGGAATAGAAACCTTCCTTGAAAGAGGCTGCCTCGCTTCATCATTCCTGCACAAGAAAATAAAATAAGCACAAAAACCGAACTCTAACTGAATTGAGATTAAAAACAAGTATATAATTAAGGATCACAAAAATCAAAAAATAAAAATAACCAAGAATTATACTTAACAAAAAGTCAATGGAACCAAGAACTGTTTGTCATACACAAATCAAGTAGCCATGCATTACTGAGATGCGACATTACTTTAATTTTATGGGGGGAAAAAGAAGGAAATGGAAAATCAGAAACTCTCCACACAATCTTTGACATTTTGATTAAGCAGTAAAGCTATTGAATTATTGAACCCCAGGAGGGATTAGTAATCCTCAGAATTAAGATGTGCCAGAGGCTGGCCACAACAACCACGGAGAAAACTAAGCCCAATTACCCAGGAAAAAAACACTTAAGCCCAATTAAAACCCAGATAACAGCAAGACACAAAATTCGCTCAAGTAGGAACCTACAGTAAAGAGTCGTCCACCAACACATCTGTACTGGCATCAATATCTCCACCACCCCTGCCTTCAGAAGCAGCATGGCTTGTGGTCATTGGAACAACATACTTATCTTGCTTCATCTTCCAGCCATCAACTCTCTCTTTCCAGGCTACATTGCCTAATCCAGAGGAACCAAACTCCCTCGCTGGATCGACAACCCTAATATTAGCTGCAACAAGAAAATTTACCAAGGAATTGATTCAAAACTGAGTAGTAACATTCATATAAATGAACATATATAAGACACAGGCAAGAGGTTATACGTGATTGATTCACATCCGCTCCATAAGGAAGCGGATGCACGCGCTTCCCTCCACCACCAGGTCCAGGAGATGCCATAGAAAGCCTTTCAGGTGATGCTGCAGAAAACTCTCCAGAAACCTAAAGGTAGAACACCGTAAAATATTAATTTCAGAGCAGATTACATACCGAAGTAGAGGATGGCATACAAGCAGCTTATCGACCCACCTCACGTCCACTGGTGAGCAAAGGGATGTGGTTGTGGGAAACCTCTTTATCATAGTTTGGAGCCCCGATGTCCTCCCCTCGTCCATATGTCATATGCCAGCTTAACATGCGCTCTGCAACCTTCTGCTTCTCATTTTGGTTTTCAGAAGAGTATGGAAATCCACTGCCAATGTCATCAGCATCACCATCCTCTCCATCACCATGAATAGGAGGACTTCCTGGAACCAAATCAATGAATATTGTATAACATTAATAGAGACAAATTTTGATATCTTAGATTTATCAGCTAATGGTAGAACTCAGTGGACTCAAGAAGGCATAATGAAAATAAAGTAGGTTAACTGATAGCAATTACGAGCTCTAAGGAGGGGAATGAATGCAGATTCCAGGAGAATATCCTTATTCAATAACATTAAGGATCATGTAAAATTAAAAATTATTATTCATAACATTCAAAATAAAAATGAACAATCGTGACAAACTAATGATTGAGAAGAGCAACCAATTAAGATTGAGGAAGCTTAATAAAAAAGAAAGAAGGGTTACATAAAACTAGACATGCTAAAATGGCCTGACAGATTATTTTCTCAACACTCAAAGTTGTTTTGCTGAATAAAATTATTCATTTACCATACATGCACACACAAAAACACACATGATCATATTTGTAGTCTATACAACTGATGGATATTAAGTGAAGTTATGCATAATTACATTAAACCGACCTTTATGCCTCTTGTATTTGGTTTTGCATTGAGGGCAAGACTGATTCCCATCCTTCCGCTCATACTCATAGCAAGGCCTGCAAACAGGAAATGCACAGACATCGCAAGCAATGAAAGGTTCCCCACCCACAGTTTTACCAACATTATCACCACAGATCTGGCAGACCTGACCACCTGGGCTCTTTAAGGACTTCCCCTGAGAAATTAATTTTCATAATTCACAAAATTCAGAAGATCAATAACCCAGTGATGCAATGAAAATAGGTGTAAACACAGCAACTGAAATACTTGGACCAAATTAACACCACACATATATATAAATGAAAATATGTGCAGGGATTATTTAAAGTTGAAGCTTTTTAATGAATGTATGCTAAATCAACCGTTAAACCAAATATCATGTCGAATAAAAAAAAATATAAAACCCAAATAAATAGAAAGTAAGAAAAGTTCATAGAGGTAGATAAAAGTTTATTCTTTGAATAAATCTAACTGTAAACTATACAGAAAATTTGTTCTATACTAACCCCAGTTTCTCCTTCTGATTCCATCGTCAGCTTCTCTTTGCTTAGATGTGAACAGCGGATTGCAATTAGGCTTCAATCTCAGCGAGACATATAGATAATGAACATGCCTAAAGCTTCACACCCCTCCAGACGCAAGAAAAGCAATAGAAAGAGCTTTCTATAGTCCACCACTTCAAAGAACTCTTTCAGTAAAATTTGCTCAGATTACAGTCCAGATCTGCGAGTGAAACCTGATAAAGGGACTGAAAATTAGATTGCCTCTTCTGAGAAGTTTCCCCAAACCTGTTCAATTTTCACCACCCTATTGGATACCGAGAAAACCAAAGAAAATAAATAATTTTTTTAAAAAAAAAAGGTATAGCCTTGAATTTCATGTTAAACTTATTTTGTATTTCCGAAATGATAAAACCCACATCAACTAAGCCCACTATTAGGTGCCTCAGGCACAGTTGAGTGGATGTTAATGTCAATTTTTTTATTTTTCTTTTCTTGTCCTAAGTTTTCTCAGCAACCAAACACGCAATTAACAGAGTATGCAACAAAAACAACATATCAAGTACCTCAAGATCTGATCTTTCTCGCAATTTCCGTCCCCAAACAATCTATTGTCTCCGCAATTATAAATGAATTGAAGCCCAAACGATCAAAATCTCACACAGATCTCGAAAAAAAAACCACAAGAGGAGAGAAATACGAAGTAATTCCACCAGATGTTGCAGTGTTGGAGACGAATTGAATCAATTTGACTTGAGCATGAGAAGAGAGCAAAGAACAGCTGTCTCTCTCTCACTCCCTCGGTCTTTAATTACAATGTTCGTCCGCTTATATATCTCACTTATCCATCTCTCACTCTCTACACTTCTCTTTCTAAAGTCTCTCTCTCTCTGTATCTGTATGGCTTGTATAGCTGTACATTACATGCTATACAATACCAACTAGAATTTTTTTATATAAATATGTATATATATAAAATAAAATTCTTTTTTTAAAAAATGGCTTAATTAGCGACGAGAGCGACTTACCAACTGTAAGCTTTCAAAATCAGTCCGCCGACAGTGCTCTTAAGAGGGAGAGAGATATGAACAACTTAAATCCCTGTCACTAATAATTTTCTCAACCACTCCAACATATATATATATATATATATATATATATAAATTGTAAATTGTTTATACCAAAAATATATATATTTAGTTACCTAATGAGAATATCGCTCTATATGACTAATGTGTAAAAAAAAAAAAAATCTAAATTTAATGGATGATATAGACCATTTACCGGTCACAATGTCTGTCTAAATAATATAAAAGTAATAGTGACAATTTTACTCTTTATATGTCCTAATTTTTCCACTTTATCAAATTTGTACTAGTTGTCAATTAAAATCTAACTAGAAAAAAAATAAAAAATAAAAATAAATAAACTAACTCTACTTTTATGACGGTAATACTCCGTTTGAGATTCTTTCTCTACTATTTACAAAATATTTTTATTTTAAAAAATTGTGTTTAGATTTGTTTGGTAACCATTAAAAACACTTTTAATGTTTACCAAATTTACTTAAGCAATTGAATGAAACTTTTAAAATTACGTTCTAATTAGAGGGTGAATATTTTAAGTAATTTTTTTTTATTAGTCAATTATATTCTTTTTATTTTTTATAAAGACAATTACATTTATTTCTTAATAAAGTTTCTATTATCAAATATGGTAATATTATATTAAAGAATATTATTGTAAAATTAAAAATAAAATTTTTTAAAAAAATATTGTTACAAAATGAATTAAAAAATAATTTGATTATGAAAAATATTTATTAGAATTTGTCATCAAACACCTAACATAATCTTTTAATAATTGACCCCAAACAAACTCTAATACATCCAAATTAAACTTAATTAGAGGTAAGAATCAGGATAAATATAATTGCAATCTCAAGTCCATCTATCTTCATAATACACACATTTGTACAATTATGTACTTCTATTATTTTTAACTAAAAATTTGACCCTACTATTATGAGAATAAACACATCCAAATCAAATTTGATACAAGATAAATAAAATTATCATTTTAAATGTAACTTATCTTTATTATACCTTGCTATTGTTGCAATATATAAAATTAGCATCTTAAATATTTATAATACACACGTTGTTATTAATCTCGAGTCTCGCATTATTTCTAAAATCCATGACTGACTTATCATCTAAATCATATGGTTTGAAAAGAATACTTACTAAATTAATGTTTTGCTATATTTTGCATGATTTTAAAATATCGGATTGGATGATATGTACACTTTAATTTTAATGTTAAAAATCAAAATATAATGATATAAAATATTATCATTTCATTTACATTTAATTTAAATGTAACGGGATTTTTTTTTTTTTTTTTTTTTGTCTTTTCTGATTAACAATTTTTTACATTTTTTTTATAATAAAGTATCCAATGAGTCTATTTTTTTATTTTGAGTAGTAATAATGGCACCAAATTTATAGTGAATTACCTAAAATAATTTTTGATTAGTTATTTATGTTAAATACAAAGTAAGTAAAAGTTTTCATTTTCTTATTTGTATATAAATAACCAACTAAAAATAATAAATTTAACAAATTTTTATATTTATTTTTTCTTCTTAAAACAAGTGTATCGGTTCAGTAATATATGCATTATTTAATTCCGTACGGTTCATAAACAGCGATATACTTACCTCTTGTATCACTGCAACATGTAGCAATGTAGGTTATAGCCTCCGTCGTAACGCCGTTTAACATAACTCTTTAACGTCAAGAGAGAGAAATCAAAAGCGACGATTAGGGTTTTGTTTCATAAATCAGGAAAATGGTGTCATTTGGATCTCTCAAATCGGCAATCTTCGAAAGGGAAGAGAAAAAACAGTGCGTTCATATAGGATACTTTGTTTTCTCTCTCTATCTAGTATCTACACACTTGCTTATATAAATTTATATAGTATATATACAAAACTATATGTTGTTCATTCGAAGCTCAGCAATATGTTATTGGCAGGCAGTATCAAGCTCATATACGAGGACTCAACGCCTACGATCGGCACAAAAAATTTGTGAATGATTACGGTGAGTTTTCAATATTTGCTCGTTTTGGCGTTTTTCCTTTTTCCTTTTTCTTTTTTTTTTCTTTTTTTTTTCAGTGACTTTTTTGTTTCAAATAGTTTGCTGATATATGCATTTGATTGAATTGGTATGTGATTGCATTGTCGGAGCTATTTTGAATCTTTGATGTTACATTGTGATTGAATTTTGTTAATACATGCAATTTTCATGGGGTAAGAGCTAATTTAGTGGAAAGATAAGAGGTGAATACATTCAATATGTTCCTGAAAGAAACTGATATTGGTGATGCAATGTGTTCTTTTGGGTTTATGATTTTATTTAATTTTAGTGGAATTTCAATAGTTGTCTTTGCACTAGAGTTTTAAAGCTCATTAGCTTGTGATTCATGTCTTGAAGTCAATAAGGACTGATAAAGGTATCTAGGTGGCATCCAACACATGAGAGGGTCTTGCAACCGTTAGAAGCTGTATACGACCAAAATGTCGTAATTGAGGCCTAGAGAAACCAAATCAGCATGATCCTGAATTTCCTTAGCGACTCTTAAGGCCATGAGGCGTGCTTCAAGCCAAAGCTGAATTGTTTTCCTTTTCTGCCCCACTTTTATTATGGAATGGGGGCAGAAAGTGTCTAATTGCGTTCCCACTATGAATTATTCTACTCTGGTTATGGAGGCATGAGGTATAGTTTATAGTAGTAATATCAAGAGAAATATAGATCTAAAGAGTATAACATACTTGTTATTGGTTGTGCACACTAAATATAAATGATGTTGCTGATCTAATTTTTTGTTTGATAACATTCTCAACTGGGACTTGTTGTAAATTGACTATATGCATAAGAATGATGTTGAAAATCTTAGCTAGTCCAGTACATTGTTTTTCTTTTTCTTCTTTTAGTAATTGCCATCTTGAAGTAGCGTAGGAGGTACGTCATATCTGAGCAAGTGCCTTGTTTGTCACCTGTCCTACCAAAAAAATATATTGTGTAATAGATAGATTGGTTCATCTTGTACAAATTAATATTCAACATCTTTTTTAGCGTCCTAAAGCATACATATAAAGGATGATAATAATCATAACACAATATGTTTGGATGACTAGGAGGGAAAGGAATTGGTCACTAATTAGGAGTGAAGAAAAAGAGAGAGAATGATGTTAATCCCTCTTGTCTTTGGATTATTAAGGAGCAAAAAGAAAGGAAAGTATAATGGTAACCTTTTTCGTGTTTGGATAACTAAGAAGGGAAAATACAGGAAAGGATAGTTGCAATCACTTTGTTGTCTTTGATAAAGATATAGAAAGAAAAGAAAGGGAATGAATGTATTATTATTTGAGAAAAAAATTTGAAACAAGAATTCACTTGTTCAAGAAAATAAGGACAAAGTGAGTACGCCAAGTAGTTGCAATTCACTCATACTTTTCCTCCATTTCTACCCACTGTGGAGGATTGTCAAATATTGCTATATGGATATGCGAGCCTGCGCTTCTCCCTTCTATTTCTTTTCTTTCTATCATCTTTTCTAAACCAAACACGCGATAAGATATTTCTCCTTTTTATCTTGTAAATGCTTGGCTGCCTATTCTCTTTGACTTTACCAAAAAGTTTTTCTAGCAGCATAAGTGAGGCAAACTCAACACTTACTCTGAAATGCATATTGACACCCTAAGCTACTTCAAGTTTGTCAATCACTCAAGAGAACAAAACCGTTAGAAGAATTGAAAAAAATAAAGAAATAATAATATTTTAGTTACAACAAATATGTCACTACGAAATACGAATGTTGATGAAAGGCAACCAACAAGTACTTTATATATTGTGCATAAACCATAACAATTATATCTTTGAAACCCATATCTGTTTTGATCTTAATGCGACCAACTAACATGTCACGTTCCTAGATTCAGGTTATAAGGGATTAGAGTGGGAAGACAAATCGAGTTCCTTCTCCTTTTCTCTTAAACTTAATTTGCAAACAATGAGTAACATTTAACATTTTTCCCCTTGTAGTGTAATTTTTAGAAGCTGAAGACATGAAGTACTAGAAAGAGAAGTTCTACGGCACGGAGATGACAATCATCCTATATTATATTATAATGCATTGATATGTTTGTTAAAAGTGAGGTATTGCCTTTTTTAGTTGATCGAGTATTTTTGTTTACATACTCAGTTCTACTCTTTCAATTGAATATTAATAAGAGTTTGTCTAGACTAGATGTATGTCATTGGAGTTCGGATTTTGGCTGCTTCTCTCTAGATAGTTTGCTTCTTCATTTGTTATTGTCAATATTATTTCGCATATGGTATTCTATAAGATTCAAAATTGACAGATCCTTATTCAAAGCTTTAGAAAATACTTTTATGGATTAATTCATAAAAATGTGTAAAATATTTTAACTTGGACACACAGGAAGCGTGCAAATAGCGAGCCATTTATTTGTCTGATCCTGGGTCCTAAAGCAAATGAATGATGAACAGTCCTCTCCCCGAAAGAAGGAAGGGGGCTACAATTGTTCATACATTTACTTGTACTCTGAAACTTTGATGTGGTTGTTCATTTGTGCCAATTCGTACTTTTTTGCTTTTGAACTAACGGATTCTTTTGCCAATTCTATGTTTCACTTGCAGTTGGTTTTTATGGAAAAGAAGGATCTACACAAGAAAAGTTGCCAGCTAAAACTGATCAAGACACACTCAGAGAAGGATACCGGTATGCTCGTATTGTGGCTCTTGCTTACTCCACATTTTGCAGTTCATGCATGATTATCATTGGCTGGGTTCATCTAGTCTCTGTATGGATTGTGTTTGATGCTTTTAGGTTCTCCACTTCAATTGAGGCCCCCTCCTTTCCTTGTCCTTTTTGCCTGGTTCTTGGTTGGTCCTACTTCATAAATAAGGTTAAGCCAAGAGAATTTTGCTGGATTATGCTTGCATTTTCTTTGTTGTTCATACCAAATCAAGGTTTGGCCCCCCTACCCCACCCCCAAGAGAGCAGCTAGTGTGGAAGCAATATTTGAGAATGTTTAGCCTCATTTAATATGTCTAGTTCAGGGTTTTAGTCAATGCAGTTGATTACTAAACAATCTATTGGGTTATTCATGGATTGCTGGATGAGGGACAAGAAAATTGTATCGTGGGCGCTTGACGTGGAGGTTGTTTACACTAGTTCTGTAAAGGCTTGAACTGTAACTTCCACTAGAGTTATCTAAAATTGGAAGAGAGAGAGAGAGCAACTCGTGTGGAAGTTATATTTGAGAATGTTTAGCGTCTCATTTAATATGTCTACTTCAGGATTTTAGTCAATGCAGTTGATTACTAAAAGGTCTATTGGGTTATTCATGTTTTGATGGATGAGGGACAAGAAAATTGTGTCGTGGGCACTTGACATGGAGGTTGTTTACACTAATTCTGTAAAGGCTTGAAATGTAACTTCCACTAGAGTTATCTAAAATTGGAGAAGAGAAAGACTGAGAGAGAGAACAAGAGGGGGAGGAGAATTCCAAGAGAGAGAAACTGAGAGGAGATTAGTGACAAGGGATGAGAGACAACATAATGCAGTCAGAGGCTTGAAAAAATAAATTTATTGAAGGGAGAAATTTAGAAAATTAGTTCATTTCAATGTAGGAGCTGTTAAGTATTTGGATTGATTTGATAATTTGTGTCATTTTGAGATATTTTAAATTTATGCATGGTATGCACACGTGTTGCATCTCTGGTTCTTTGATGTATGTGGACAAACCATCTAATTCTACTCTCTCTAATATTCTCACCAATGGGTTCTACACCTAATTTTTCTCTCACACTTTCATTAGTGACCCTATCTCTTCTAGTCAGTCCACTCATCCATCTTAACGGTCTCATTTTTGCTACAAGAAGGCATTGTTCTTGTTTCTTTTTTGGGGCCCAACATTTTACTCCATACAACATAGATGGTCTAATAACGGTCCTATAGAATTTTCTTTTAGCTTGTGTGTTATTCTTTAATCACATAAATCCCAAGAGCTCCATTTTCTTATGTTGTTCTTAAGCTTTTTATACTAATAAAAATTTATTATTTTTTGTTATTATTATTACTTGGTGACTTTTTGTAATTTGATTTTTTTGTTGTTTCTTGAAGGTTTATACGTTCTGAGGAAGATGACATGGACCGGTCTTGGGAACAAAGGCTTGTGAAGCGTTACTATGACAAGCTTTTCAAAGAGTATCCTTTACAAGAGATGCTATCTTACATCCGTCAAATTATTTTTAATTCTAAAATAATGGATGAATAAATTGTTTTGACTCATTGACATTCATACTGATTTTGAATGGATTTAACCTTTTAAGTTGTGACTGTTTAAAGAATGGATAACATATTTGATTGAAGAGATATGCACAATGCAATCTCCTTATTATCTCAACATAGATTACAAGTATTGAAATTTTGATTATCATATATGTAAGTAAGTAATATAGCATGTTTAAAACTATAATCGACATTGAGGCACTAGTAGCTGATTTTTTTGCTTATAGAATTTAGGATGAATAAATTAACAAGGATGCATTCAGCTTGATTTCCTTCCCCTGAAATTTTGGTGGTATTTTTTAATGCTTATATCCTTAATTTTCTTCTTACGATCAGAGTGATATTATGAGTCCTTAATGGGGCGAAGAAGTCATTGCTCAGACATTTTGACAATGAGCTTAGAGTCTCATTTGATGGCTGATTTTCATGCTTAAAGCATAATTTTGTTACAGATTTTCTTCTTTAGGCAGGGCTACAACAATGTTTCAAAAACTGGTCTAGTTACTCCTTCACGTCAAGGAGAAATTTGGACTCTCTCTCTCTCTCACTGTTTTTTCTCGCTGTATTTCTATTCCGAGGTTTTCCTTTTTGCTCCTTTTTTATCCTTTCATCTCTCTTTCTCTCTCTGATTTTTTCTTTTCCTTCGTAAGCCCATTGGAGAGGAGTGGTGGAACAAAATGGAGAACACAAGTGTAACTTTATTTATTTTTGCCTTCTGAGAAATTGTCAATATATCCATTGCTATCTTTGCTTTACAGAAATGATGGGTGATTTATAGTCTACAAACTACATATATTGATGTCTTGTAAGCTCCTTGTGTGTGTGTATAGCGTATGTCTGTGCATTTGTATGGGGGGGCTTTCTGCTAACCAAGTTTTTAATAGATTTCTTGTTCATTTCCTTAAACCTTTTGAAGATACTGCATTGCTGATATGTCACAGTACAAAACTGGCAAGGTATGTGGTACTACATGATATATAGATTTCTATACTATGTTTTCCTTTTCTTTACAGACAAGCGACTAAGAACGCATTCTCTGATGTCATGGAAAAATGAAAAATATGATATTTCTATGATAAATTTGACTTTAGAGTTTAGATACTTTAGATGCATAAATTGATGCACATATATACTCATACGTATACATGCATGCATGTACAATTTTTTTTTTTAATATGTTGATGTATCTTTTATTTATGGGACGTAACAGCCTTATGTAAAGAATTTTAATGTGTAATGCTGCCATTACTAAAGGAGCTTTAAGTGGTAGATTACGTCACTTAAGAATGATATATCATCTTGTGGTATATATATATTTTTATATAATGTTTAACATAGTTTATTCTCTTTACTACTCCTTGGTGTTACTCTTTCCCCTTGGTTTTATTTTATTTTCTTTTTTAAAGAAAATAATCTGATAAGAAAAGTAAAATGAACACTGAAGAAATAAAATTAAATACATCTTATTTTCTAGAAAAATAGCTTACTACGTAATCACTTTTTAAGAGTTAAACATAGATATTGCTCTTCCTTTTTGATTTAATTATTATTATTATTATTATTATTTTTATAAGCACGATAGAAAGCATCTATAAGGGGCTGCAACCATGTAGACACAATATGTGCAAAGGCAAAAAGAAAGGTCATTATTCAATATGATCTTGTTAATGGGTATACTATGAGGGATATTTTGGGTAGAAATAGCAAAAATGCAGCTGCTCTTGAACTTGAACCTGGTTTCTTAAGTACGGTAGCTTTCTCCACCAAAGAAAGCACAGACTCTCTTCTAGGGGATGTTGTGGCTGTGTCCGGCACGTATCTGACACAAACACGCGTGGGACATGGCTGGACACGTCGCTGACACGACTATTTCGAGTGTCCAGAAGTTTGAGCATATTTTTTTTAATTGGACACGAAGATAACATGTTAAGGATGCTTTTGGGACACAGTGTGTATCCAATTTTTATTTTTATATAAAAAAGGGGTTAAAGTGCATTTTAAAACATATTACTGATTAATAGAAAAACAATATAAAGTTCTAAAAATCAGCACTCATCCAGCCCTAATTCCCAAATTACTAATTAGTGATTACATTCATGGTATTTTGGAAAACATTTCCTCTTCCCACTTAGAACTCCATATAAAAAAGACCCAATAACATAAATTGATTTGAAATACAGCTGATAGACCACTAGTAGGACATTTGTTCAACAATGTTGAAACTTAAAATATAAACAAATCTGTCCTGCAGCAGACTTACAGTAAATAAAGACTAAATACTACTATGGTCTTTTTGGAAAAAAGGAACTTCTTGATTGTCATGGGTCCACAAACCAATTGATATTTAATAGAGACGGAATCAACATAGCATACTGATGAATTCTTTGCACGCTGGAAAGGATTAAATTAATCCATCTGGCCCATTTAAACGCCCATAATCAAATATCTTTTAACTGTGCGGCATTCATATTTATGCTGTGAAGGATTTGTTGAGAAATAAAAGTATTCATGTCTGAATATATTGCCTTACAGTATAAATTGCCTTCATATTAATCCTAAATCTTATTCTGAATCTCAAGTTTCTTTCTGCCAGGTTGGACTGAGGTGGAGGACTGAAAAAGAAGTCATATCTGGGAAAGGTAACGTTATACACTTTAGTGGCTTTTATTTATTTTTTCTTATTTAGTGTTTTGAAACATTCTTTTTCTTTCTCTTTGGAAAATCATTATCTTGCACTCTATATGTTTTATATTCTTTTTTTGAACACCAATTAATTTAGCCTGGCATTTGACATTTAACTTGAGTTCTTTTGTCGATCATCATTTGTAAATTGGCGTAGAAGTTTCTATCTTATCATTGATTGCTCTGTATTTGATATTTTGTTGTCTTTTTCTCAGTTCACATAATACATAGATTGCCTTCATGATAGAATGTAATTCGAAAATCTAAAATGAATGAATGAACTATAATTCATTTGTTTTACTTATGATTTTCCTATGAGTATACCTTTTTGTTTATGACTCTTGTGCTCAGTGAGATTCTCAGAATCTAACTTGTTTACTTGTATACACTGTTTTTGAATTTATTATTACTCAGGAAGAGTGCACAATGCATTATGCTCTCATTAGATTCAATATGATGTTGCCCTGATTGTGTCTGATGACTGCAATAGATTATGGGTCCAGTAAACACGAATCAGAGGCTGAGAACTTGCACCTATTATTTTTGAATCAGAGTTTTGGAATATTCAACCAGGAGGCTCCAAAACCGTTAATTATGCATTTTGTTTTTAGGAGCTTACTTATTTTTGGCTTATGTAGCAAGTCACGCTTTGTTTACAAAGTAGGCCACTTAACTCTATCCTCAAAGTAAATTAATTGTATAAACATGATGGGAATTCAAGGATAGTTGATTTGTCGCATGCAGGATAAAAAACAAGTTGCAGTCTCATCGAATACTGTCTTGTCATAAACTTGAAATTTAGTTTTCTTTGAATGCAATGGGCATAGCTTATTCATCAATACATCATCATCATCATCTTTGCCTTTGTCCCATATGAATGGGGTCGACCCTTATTCATAAATACAGTGGGTGAATATAATAGACAAATTTGACAAGGAAGGAATGTCAAAGAAGAAAAATGAAAATGTACACTTGAAAAAAAAGGGGATTATGAAAAGAAAGGAAGAACACGTAATGTAACGTAGAGTTTCTTGAACGATCATTCAAGGTGATGGTGTCCCTCTTGACAAGCATGTTAGTCATGGTCAAAATGACAAGTGATATCTTTTCCTATTTTTTTCCAGCATGTATTTAATTATTAACTCGTTAATATGTTATAGAACTATCACTTTAGGGATGGTTTGGATTATATTTTAGTGTCTCAATTGCTTGCTATTACTTGAACAAGTCGAATAATTTCATGCTCTTTCTTAATTTGTTATAAAATATTTTCTTGGGATGTTAAGTTTTTTGTTTAGGAATCCTTACTTTAGGGATGATTTAAATTGAACAATTTGAATATCTTCATGGTCTTTTTAATTTGTGATAATAATTTCACACTCTCCTCAATTTTATATTTCTAACCTATTGGAATTGGATTATGTTAGAGCCTCTATGTAGAATAGGGTGATAAATTTTTTATTTTTTATTATTTTTTTATTTTTATTTTTTATTTTTTATGTTATTTAACTTGAAATGTATCTATGCCTTGAAATATACAATTATATATCATTAGTTATCATAATTTCTTTGGCGCATTTTTCTTATTTGAGCTCAAAACCATGTTAGTCTTATGTTATTTGATCATATACATATTAACATTACCTTGGACCCTTTTTTGAACTTGAACTCATGTTCGCTTGGTAATTTAAGCTTTACCGCAGGACCAGACAATGGCTCCTAGTACCTTAATATATCCACTTAATTAAAATTCACACCTTATGTATACTAATTACTAATTATTGCAATTTCCCCAAGACATTGTAAAACATTTTTGGTTTGATATTCATAGTATTAATGTATTATCTTGGTGTCCAACTCTGACAAGGTTCTTTTATAGAAGTGTTCGTGCTACCTAATGAACAGTCTATTCATTTAATCTTTTACTGTATTTGGATATAAATCAAAAAGTAGGTCTGCCTTTATTAAAATAAATAAATTTATTGCCATGTATGCGAATTTATAATTCCAAAGTATCTTAGAGCCTTTTTAATTTTTGTTATTTCTATTATATTTTAAGAAATTGGCCTGATCCGTTTTGAGATGTGTCAAAGTAAATCGCAATTTACTTAAAGACTTTTATATGCTCAATATTCATTTCTTTCAAATGATCAAAATTAAAAAATAATTTTGTGGTTGCTTCAGATTATTGGTCTCCTAACCTTTCTAGTTTGTTCTTATTCAATGAGATCAACTAATTTTTGGATTTTGATTTCTGGATGCTTATGTATGGGGAAGTGTCACAATATCTGATATGTGAAACTGAAAAGTTTTTTGGGGTGTTTTTGTGTCCAAAAGAGAAATGACATTTGGAATTTGCCCATCTTGACTTGCCACTTCATTACTGTAATATTTTGCATATTTAATATTTTCTTTGCAGTCTTTCAGATCCTTTTTAGTTATTAATGACAGTAGGAATTAGAATTGACTTGTCATTTTTTGTTAGTCAGGGCAGTTCTTATGCGGTAACAAGCATTGCAATGAGAAAAATGGACTGGGAAGCTATGAGGCATGTGCTTCTACTATTTATCTTCTTATTGGTTTGTCTTTTATCTAGAGACTCGGTTTGGTTTGTAAATTTTCTGAAGGAGAAGGAAAGAAACAAAGGGAAAAAAAAAAAAATGAAATTTGCTTTTACTCTACCAATTATTTTCTGCCTAAATATCATTAAGTAATTTTCAAATTAGTGGCTGGAAATTTCTTTTGGTAAGTCGGAAATGGTTGTAAGGAAAAAGCGAGGAGTATTGAACATGTAAAATCAAAAGTTCGGCCTTCGCTTTTCCTCCCACCTTCATTTTACTACTGTTTCGATGGTAATCAAGTAAGTGATAACGATTCCCTTTGCATTATCCTTTACATCTTCCCAGGTACAAGCATTTCATTAAAGTGAAAATTTGCGTTATGTCAACATTATCATTTGTTCAGTGTTGCACTGTTGCTCATTGGATGTCAACTTAGATGAATGCTGGGTTCATGTACTTGGTAATAAAGTAGGGGAGTGTTAAAATTCAAATAGAATCATCTGCAAGCCCAAGGCTTTGCAATTGAAGCCTTGTCCAATGCTACGTTGTTGCGGTCAGACCATTGGCAAAACGAACGGAACCCTTAAAAGCAAGATTTCCTTCTGATTTTGACTCTTCAATGACAATGAGCATATCATGACATGCATAATTTTGAAACTTAATTTGAAAAAGAAATAATGAGGGACCTTTTGACTTATAAGAATCTTTTGGTTTAGTAAACCCTAGTTTTGCCTCTCATATTACTTAAAAATAAATAAATAAATAAAAAGTTTTGTTTCCCATATCTTTATCCATTATCTTGCAGGTGAACTTTTCTTATTTTGAAGCTGGGGAAAACAAACAGGCCTTGGTGAAACTGGTTGTGTGTGAGAGGTATGTGGATTTTTACCAAGAATATGTTTGTCTATCTTTGCTATCCCAACTATTTCCTTTTGTTATATAAAGTCGTTAGGTGCAGTTGCAATGGGAGCAATATTCGTGTATTTTGATGAATTTTGGGTCCCTCACTGCCTCACTGGTGTTGTTCACTTGGTGCTATTTATAACCACGATTTGTCAAGCTGGTATTTTCTTTTCCAGTGTACTTTTACATCATGGCATGTCACCCCATTTGTATTCTCATTGGCAGCATACTTGGAGGGTTCTGCATTTTTGGTAGCACCATACTAGTTACTGAATGAAATTCTATTCTAGTATCTTAGTTGCCTACAAACCTTATTTCGGACTTTGCAAAATTATACAATAATTTCTGGCCCAAGTTTAATTTGAAGAAATGGTTTATATAATTAATGGATTAGGCAATGAGCCAATGAGCTTGTGTGTGGAAGTTTTATACTAGCTTTGGGGATATAGCTGATAATTTAGAAGGACCTTGGGCTACATTGAAGGTATGGAACTAGTAATAGATGGTGAAGAGGGGGCAGGTGCAGGGATGGGGGCAAAGTTCTTCTCTCTGCTCTTGGATACCCTATTGTTCATTTTAAAGTATTTCTGATCCTATAACTGATTGATTGATTGTTAAACTTATTTTCTCAATTTGGAGTCTTGTGATTTCTAGTCTACCCATTATGTTGTGTGGCTCTGAAAGCTTCTTGTTAAAATTTCTTAGGGAGGGATAATATTCACTTCTCTACTTCTTTCCCAACCAACGTCCCTCTCCCCTCTTCTATTATACAAATGATCTATCAATTGGTTAGTTTGATTAATCAATTTTTTGCCCCATTTTTTCTTTCTTTTCTTTTCTTTTCTTTTATTGCTTTTTCCCTACTGAACGTCCCATTATCTTATGCGAGTAGATGATTGTGTGAGCTTCCTGTTATTCCCCCATATTTTTTCTGTGTGGAAACAACCGAGTCTATGCTTCCTGAATTTTTGTACAATTATTTGCTCCCTGTAATTTGAATCAAATGTAGCAGTGTAGCTCCAACTTAAATGTCACTGTTTGGTGTTATTATGTTGCAATAAGTCATTGTCAGGAACCTGAGTTCATGATGTAATTTGAAATTTTAACAAGGATGCTACTTGATTCGGTGCTCTACATCTTGGATTAGTTTGACTTTTATCATTTCTGGATTCTATTAACTGTAGTTTTCTTGGTTCAGTTCTTTCAAACTAGTAGCTCTGATAATCTTATACTCCATATTTATTTTCATTGGTCATGTTCGTATAGATGCACAGAGAAACTTGTTTACAAAAGGCAGAAGGAGAAGGAGCAATCAATGAAACGAGAGAAAGAAGTGCTCAAAAGGAAAAGGTGCATCCAGATTGCGATGTCTTTTCTGCTTATATACCTTCTTTTTTATACATCATGTATTTCGTGGAACTGACTAGTGTTCTGTTCTCTGGGAAAGGTCAAGAAGCAAGGATGATACAGATGAAGAGTATGAGATGAGCAAAGAGAGGAGAAAAGGTTTGGTACTGCCACTGATATAGTTATATCCTTAATCATCTCTTATTGTTTAGGACTTGGTAATTTTTTTTCCCAGTTAGTTAAATACGTGCGCGCGCGCGCGCGCACACACACACCCAACGAATGGCTACTATGGGGCTTGAACCCTTCTCCTCAAGGGAAGAGGTTATACCAGCTGGGTAATGACCCAGTGGCTTCAGGACTTGGTATTTATTTGGATGAAGGCTCCTGTTTTGGTCATCTTTTTTGTTATATTATATGTGCATGGTGCATGAAGTCTCTTGAAAATTTACCAAGAACTACATATCTTTCATATAGCCTCGTAAAAGCCTGGCGAATGGTGGAGGTTATTTGTCAGGTAAAAATCATGCTCTTGTGATGTACAAGTGTAGAATGTTTGGCTCATATATACTGCCCTAGTCAAGCAGAATATAGTGTGTCGCGCCCCCATTTTGTTGAAACAATTCGTCACTCTCTGCCCTCTCAGTTGTCTTATCATTTGGTCATCCGTGATAAAAGCTTACAAGTCTTTTACCTGTCCTTTGTAGGAAAAAATACTTCAACTTCAGCTGGTGGTCATAAGATTGACGACGAAGAAAACTTTGATGAGTATCTTGAGGGAATGTTTCCTTGAAATGAAATGAATGATTGCTGTCACACCTTTAAGCTCTCTTCTGTATTTGACATGGTGAAATGCAAAAATACCTAAATGTGCTGAAATCTGATGGTGCAATATCAGCTTGAAGAATTTTCTGCTATAGCTGGGCATTTTATTAGTGAAAAGGAAATAGAAAACTTCCACATGAATGTATCTAATGGATGAATGTAACTTGGCTTGTATATTCGGTCTATTTTTCTAGCTTTTAACTTGCATATCAATATATCATTACTTGAATCAAATGTCTTTTAACGTTTTAACGGATTTGGATTTGCATGTTTAAAGAAACAGAGGATCAATTTGTAGAGAGTGATTAAGAGAGAAGAGAATTAGTCCGATAGAAATACGAAGAGAAGAGGAGAATTAATCTTGATAATTAAATTTGATGAATTTAATTAGGTTGATTTCGATAATTGGACCATATTAGGTTACCAAAACAACCCAAAAAAAACAGATCCAAGTAAAACAAGACCAGCACAAGAATTTACCAAAAAGGAGGGTAATAAATGAAACAAATCTTATTGGTAACCTTAAAAGAAAAGAAAACATTACATACGAAAAAACAGAAACAGAAATCACAATTTGTCCATCAACAATTACATTACAAGGGGTATTTCTTATGATCAACTGATTAAACGAATCAGTCGATCGAGAAACCTCAGGCCTTATCAATAAGGCTTTGTCAGAACCGATATGTGTATCTCAAGAACCGGCACGGCGGTGGTACTGCAACTGATTGCGTCAATAGTAGTCATTGCACGACAATTAGATAGAATGGCATCAATTTTATCGTCGTCGAACCTGATGATTCCCACTTCAGAGAGGAATCGATGGAGGATTCGAGAGAATTCTATTTCATCAGACAATGACTCCGTTGAAATTGGGTATAGTTGTTCAGTCTCTGTGTAATTCTTTTCCTCCACAAGGTCGCGATTGTAGGTCCGTCTGTGAACTTTTACCATCATAGCAAAAAAATCAAACGGTACCAGTTTTTTTTCGTCGATATCAACAACACGTTTCTTCAATCTCCATTCCTCGCTTCGGATCAACATCTTTACAAAGAAAGAAAGGGCGGCGAAGAGGATATATGCGTGAGAGAGCAATGAAGATGAGAAGAAGTATTTGGGGTAGGGTTGGGTTAGGCTATCATATATATATATATATAGATTACTTGGGGAGAAAGAATATATATATTCTTGGGGAGAAAGTTTAACGAAACCGACTTACCAGCTGTAAGCTTTCGAACTCAGTCCGCCGACAGTGCTCTTAAGAGGAGAGAGATATGAACAAATTAAATCCCTAAGCACTAATAATCTATATATATATATAGATTACTTGGGGAGAAAGAATATATATATTCTTGGGGAGAAAGTTTAACGAAACCGACTTACCAGCTGTAAGCTTTCGAACTCAGTCCGCCGACAGTGCTCTTAAGAGGAGAGAGATATGAACAAATTAAATCCCTAAGCACTAATAATTTTCTCAACCATTCCAATATACACACACATATATATATAAATTGCAACGTATACAAGCAAACAAATGGATATAGACCATTTACCGGTCCACAAGGTCTGTCTAAATAATATAAAACTAATAGTGACAATTTTCCTCTTTATATGTCCTAATGTAATTTTTAATTAAAAAAAATGTCATGATATCTTGGACCTAGCAGCGAAAGATTGTTAGTTATGTTGTCTTGCTTTTTGTTTGCTAGGGCAAAAAATAATAATAATAATAATAATTAAAATCTAATCCAAACAAAAAGAGGAAAAAAATTAAATAAACTAATTCTACATTTATGAAAATAAGATTTCAATTTGCTTCTCTATTATTTAAAAAACTCTTTTATTTTAAAAATTTGTGTTTAGATTTATTTGGTAACCATTAAAAGCATTTTTAATGATTACTAAAAATTTTCCATTAGTTAATTATATATATATATTAATTTTATAAAGACTATTACACTCATTCCTTAATAAACTTTCTATTATCAAATATGACAACATCCTATTAAAGAATATTATTGTAAAAATAGCAATAGAAATTTTTTAAAAAATATTGTTACAAAATAAATTAAAAAATAATTTTATTATAAAAAATACTTATTATAATGTGTCACTAAACACTTAACATAATTTTTTAATGGCCCTAATTTTTTGACACCTCTATTAACATTTTTTTTATTCCCCGGCAACCCCAAACAAACTCTAATACGTCCAAATTAAACTTAATTAGGTAAGAATCAGAATAAATATAATTGCAATCTCAAGTCCATCTACCTTCATAATACACGTTTTATTATTAATCTTCAATCTCGACCTTTGGACAATTATGTACTCCTATTATTTTTAACTAAAAAATTGACCCTACTATTATGACAATAAACACATCCAAATCAAATTTAATACGAGATAAATAAATTTTATCATTTTTAATGTTTATAATACACACCTTGTTATTAATCTCGAGTCTTGCATTATTTCTAAAGTTCATGACTTCACGTGGTTTGAAAATAATACTTACTAGATTAATGTTTTGCTATCTTTTGCATGATTTTAAAATATCGGATTGCATGATATGTACACTTTTAATCTAAATGTTAAAAATCAAAATATAATGATATAAAATATTATCATTTCATGAAATCAAATGAAATTAATTAAACAATTTATGTGTGCTTGATAAAGTGAGATGGATCAGTATATTACTAGCCATTAGCTCATATGTATTTTGACAATTTTGTTCTTAAATAAAGGTGAGATTTGAGTCTAATTAACAATTTTAATTAACAATTACTCAATGGGATTTTTTTTTTCTTTCTAATTAACAATTTTTTACCTTTTTTTATAATAAAGTATCCTAATCACTCTCTGTTTTTATTTCAAATTAACCACCTTCGTCTTTCACCACCACCACCACTACCACCACTATTCCCTTTCACCACCAGCATCGCCCTCCTTTGCCTCAACCACCACCACCACCTTCCACCACCGCTACCTCCACCACCTTCTACCATCATCGCCATCGGCTTTCACCGCCGACACCACCTACACCGTTACCACCTTTCGCCACTTCCACAGCCTTCCACCACCACTGCCATCACCACTACCTTCCATCACTACCACTGCCACCATCGCCACCTTTCACCACTGCCACCACCTTCCACCACCACCGCTATCCCACTCCTTCCACCATTGCCATAGACACCTTCATTTATTTCCACCACCGCTACTTACAGCACTATCTCCTTTCATTACCACCACCACAATGTTGCCACCGCCGTCGCCGCCTTTCACCATTGCCGCCTTCTACCATTGCCACCACCGTCATCTTCTAACACCACCACTTACACCATCACCACTTTTTACCTCCACTACTATCTTCAACACTACCACTTCCACCATTTATTTTTTAAAAATTATTAGAGAATGTTATTTTATTAATTTAATTTATTTATTACTAAAATAGATATTTTGGATAATTTAATTTTAAATTTATTATATTTTAAATTTTTAATTGATCTAACTAAATATTAGAATAAAAAACATTTCATTATATTTTAGACATTTTATATTTACAATCAAATAATAGAATAATCATTTCATTTCATTTCATTTCATTTCATTTTTATTCTCATTACATTTACAATTACTTCACATTCCATTTATGCATACCAAACACAAGACTTACCTCTCGCGTCTCCACGACTGTGAATAAGTTTAGCAATTCAGTGCAAAAATCCGCGACCATGAATAGGTTTAGCTTTCAACACCGTTTAACATAACGTCAAGAGAGAGAAATCAAAAGCGACGATTATTAGGGTTTTCTTTCATAAATCAGGAAAATGGCGTCATTTGGATATCTCAAATCGGCAATCTTCGAAAGGGAAGAGAAAAACAGTGCGTTCATATATGATACTTTTTTTCTCTTTATATCTAGTATCTACACACTTGCGTATATAAATTTATATAGTATAAATACAAAACTATATGTTGTTCATTCGAAGCTTAGCAATATGTTATTGGCAGGCAGTATCAAGCTCATTTACGAGGACTCAAAGCTTACGATCGGCACAAGAAATTTGTGAATGATTACGGTGAGTTTTCAATATTTGTTTTTTTTTTCAGTGACTTTTTATTTCAAATAGTTTGCTAATATATGCATTTGATTGAATTGGTATGTG